GGAGTTTAGACTTGCTTATGCAATAAGCAGCCACTGAGGGCTGGCTGAGACAAAGCAAGCAAACAAACAACAACAGCAAAACAAACAACAACAAAAAGGGGGGGAGGGTGTGTTTGCCCTATGCCTTAACACTTAAGGCTTATAAATTAAGGATTTTTACATAGCCTATTTTGTGGGGGATATGGGGAACTAGGGATTGGACTCAAAGGCACATTACCACTGAGCTACATCCCCAGCCCTTTTTAAATTTTTATTTTGAGACAGGGCCTTACTGAGATGCTTAGGGCCTCACTGTGTTGCTGAGGGGATCCTTAAACTTGTGATCCTCTTGCCTCAGCCTCCTGTGTGTCTGGGATGTGCTGGGTGCACATAACTTTTTAAAATACGAGAGTAGTATGAAGACAAATGGACAAGGAATAAAGTAGAGGTTCCTAGATCAATCAGAAGACTGTTACAATAATCAAAAATAATAAAATCACATATTTGAAAATGTAAACTAGAAAAAATATAAGTAAGTACAAATTCAGTAATATAGTAAAAAAGGCTTCCTATTATAAACAATCACTATGAAGGCATCAAAATATATCTAAGATTTTCATGTATTACCAAGCTGTGTGGTATATGCCTGTAAACCCAGCAACTCTGGAGGTTGAGGCAGGAGAATTCCAAGTTTGAGGTCAACTTGGGCAAATTAGTGAGACCCCCCCACCTCAAAATAAAAAAATAAAAAGAGCTGGGGATGTAGTTCAGGGGCAGAGTGCCCCAAGGTTCAATACCCAGTACCTCTAAAAAATAAAAAGATTTCCTATGAAGAATTTATACCAACATCACATATGTTCTGTTCCCCATCATGATTTTACTCACTCTGAATATAAAATGTGATAAAAATTTGGTCAAATCAACATAATGAAATTATAACATATATTTCTTTCTTACTTCTTGCAATAGTTTACAAACCAAACCAGTTAACACTTATGGTAGATTTACACACACACACACACACACACACACACACACACGGAAAAAAAAAATGACTTCTGGAAGGCATAAGATAAATTCAGAGCTTAGCCAAAGAAATAATTCTCATTTTATATTTACCATTCCAAGCCTCATCACACCACTTATCCTGCCTTCCTTTCTCTTTCTAGTTTTTGTCTCATATGTTTTTAAAAAGACTACTTGTTCAGATTCCCTGCATTTACCTATTTTTAAAGGGCTGGAACAGACATATATGGCATCTGGGAATGACCAGTGCACATTTCCTTGGTCAGTTGCCAAGGGATAATGTGAATCTCTTTCCTGCTCTGCCATGGCCCACACAGCACACAGCCATACATTTACCTATTTTTTAAAGGGCTGGGAAACATGTAGGGATGAATTAAACATATACCACACAGCCTGTGTCCCAAGGGGGAATGTGCATTGAGAGTCTCCTCAGAAAAGTATCCTGGCTACTTAGAGACTTTTGTGGTGAGGTTAGGGGACGCTTTTTTAAGATACCTTTGAAGAAAAACAGTGGAGCCTCCCAGGGTTGTGAATCAAAGCTATTTTTTTAAAGCAGAAAATGATTAATCCTTTGTCCTTGGTGTGCTCCTGAGCTCTGTCTCTCAAATACTTTTTTGTATTTTGTTTAAATAATCTCATCCCTCCTGCTGTGAATTTCTACAATGTACTACAAAATCTGTGCTTTTCCTGTCTGGGGATGGTTTACCTGAAAGGAAAACAATGATGTGCTATTTTTGGCAAACAAAGTATGGAGGCTGACTCAGTGGTCATTAAGTCACCACCTTTGGTTAGTTTTTTAAAAGGTTGGGGTGGGGGTGCCATCCACCATCCGTTCCCCACTCAGGGAATTCTGGTTGATAATTTAGGCAGTCTGGGTGGAACCAGACCCTGAAACCATTTCTGGCTTTGAAATTATTCCTGGTGGGAAGCCCAGTGGTACTGGCATTAGTGATCTATTCCAAGGGACAGAGAGCCAACTGGCTCAGCCACATAGGGGGTACATTAAAAGTATCTCTCTCCTCCTCCAAATAGGTTGGATTGGGTTGGGAAACTAAGATAAAGTCTTCAAAAAGAAAGCAGAAATAATTGCCAGATAATCATGTTTAATGTATTTATTTTAAAATACTGTGTATGATTTGCCTTGAGCTCAATAGCTACTTCCAGAAACTGAATCCAGAATAGAAGATTCCATCCACAATCCATCTCTTGACAGCCAAACACTCAACACACAGCAAATGTAACAAAACACAGCCAAATTCAGTGTTTGAGCTGTTTGGTCCAGATGACCTCGTCTAAAAGCAAGACTCAGCAGAGGCCTGGAGGGAGTGCTCTGTATCCAGACATTTGGAAATCTTTTCTGGGCCATACTGAGAGATGAAGTGATTCAACTATTCTAAAAATGTAAGGCAAGGCTAGACTGGCACTCACAATATTTCAGTTAAACTAATATTTTATGTTCCTCAATTTCATCTGCATTCACTTTTAGTGGAATCAGAAGTAGAAGAAATAGTAGGAGGCAAAAGTGTCACGAGCCATCTGTGGGTTGCATGTGGGTCACCATGCATGGAAGCCTCGTGGACAAATATATCTGGCGTCTGGGAATGACCAGTGCACATTTCCTCTGGTCAATTGCCAAGGGACAATGTGAATCTCTTTCCTGCTCTGCCATGGCCCACATAGCACGTGAGATGGGTGTGACCTGCCAAGATGTCCATCAACCTGCTGACTGCAAGACATCAGGAAGCAAGATTCCACCCTTGAAACTTTATCCCTGCCTTTGATGTACCCCCTTAAATAAACCACTGAAGCCATCTTGTCTTTGTCTAGTTCCAGACCCATGTGGACTAGATCTATCGGGAGCTTCATTTCCTGTAAATATATTTCTGAGTATCTGTGCTTTGTTATTTGCAATTATCTGAGATTAAGCTTTAGCTTGGCTTGGATTCCTGGGCAGAAAGAAGGACCCCTTATTGAGACACTGGCCAACATTCTTTCCCCAAAACAAAAGTTTAACTTTGATGAGAAAAACTTTTTTAGGTTCTTCAATGAATTTTCCACCACCTTTTATTCCATTGTCTTACATCATACTGCGGGAGCCCTTCTCATTAGAGGGTCTCCAAGCAAGGTTACTGCTTCATAATGGTCCACTGGCAGGTTCAGCATGATGACTGCCAGGCCCAAGTGGGAACAAAGCAAATCTGCCCAATAATTCAGAACCTGGAGAGAAGTTGTGTTTTCCTTTAAAAGCAGGATTTCCACTGCTGAGCTGGGCACCTGCTGATAGGACAAAGGAGGCACCACAGGTGTTGGAATCCAGGCTGAAAAGGATGCAGCCATCTTGCTTCCTTTACTGTGAACACTCTATTGTCCCTGGTCTCCAAGGCAGTGATACCGGATCTACTGGACAGTCCTAGCTTGGGAAGAGACAGAAGGCAGTGGAGGATGTTTGATTAGGAACAAAAGTGAGGCCAAGGCCAAGGGTAGCTGTGGAAGCCTCTGTCTGGGGAAAATCTCTGGGGAACTCATTTAGCTCCATGACTGGCAAAGCTGCTTCCCTTCTCCCCTTCCTATCCACTTCCCCTCCATTATCTCCATCTTCATTCTTTCCCTACTGTGGCCCTGCTCTGGGCTGAGAGGGGCTTGGGGGTAGAAAATCAAAACAGAATAGTTTTCACAAACCCTGAAGTTGTTCCTGAAGAGTGCAATCCCAAGGGTAGGAACTGAGCATTGTCCTCAAGGCCCTGGGGAAATGAGATTTGGAGCCCAGAGATAAGACACTTGAAAATGCTGCTTAAGGAAGGGTAGAACCTTGCCCTCTAACCCCAGCCTCAGCAGACAGATGTTGCTGGGAATCAGGCATCAGCTCAATCTAAGGAGAGCATCCTGAGTCTGAGCTGTCCTAAGGAAAAATGAACTGTGTTGGAGGGTGGCAAGCTCCTGGCCCCTGCCTGTGTTTTTCTGAGTTAAAGGCTGGAGAGCCAACTCATGGGATTGCTTGACAAGGATTCTTCCAGGCCTTCTAGTCTGAGTCCCCAAGGGTTGATCTGCTGGAGGTGGAATTTCAGGGCAGCAGTCTACTTTGGCCTACCATGAAGATGATGAAGAAGACTAAGGGGACAGGGTGGTGGGAAAAAGTCCTATCATAAGCAAGTTGGGAACTGAGGGTAGGAGAGGAAAGAGGTGGATGGGGCTGTCACAACAAACTACCACAACCAGATGGCTTTAAACAGCAGAAATGTACTGCCTCCTCCAGAGGTTTGAAGTCCAAAATCATTGTGCAGTGGGATTGGCTTCCTCTAAAGGTTCTTGGGGAGAACCTGTGGAAAGCCTCTCTCCTAATTTCTGTCTCGTCCAACTTCTGCTCCGCCCAGCTGTTTGTTCCTTGGCTTGTAGACCTATCACCCCCGTCCTCCATTATCACACGGCATTCTCCGTGTCTTCAAATGATATGGACAGGCTGGATAGGCCGTGATGGTAGTGTCACTTCCCCCTTCCTGTCCATTAACTTCTTCAGTGGTAAAATAAGTTAGGGTATTCCAAATTGGGCATTCTTCGATTTCATAAAGGCAATATCCTATGATTTCATAATAGGTCTTTAAGGACCATTCCAACGCTGATATTCAATGATTTTACAATAGGGAGTTAAGCTTTCCTAAGGATTGAATAGGAAAAGGAGACAACATTTCTTTGAAAGTCAGCTAGTGTCTTTGGGGAGTAAGGTCACTTCTGAGTTTCAGCTTTCCGACATACAAAAGAAATAACAATACGGCTTCATAAGGTAGTAGGAGAGAGGCTGCTTGAGAGACGTGAAAGTCTACAGAAGAAAGCCGGGAACCTCTTCTAAGGTTCTCTTAAACTCCTAGCGCTTCGCTGGGGTGAGGTGCGCAGAGCGGGAGCGCAGAGAGGGCGGGGCTAGGAAGCCGGCTTTGTTCTTGCCACGCCCCCTCCCTAGATATCGCGAGAGGGCGGGCCCGCTTGGCTTCGGCGTCGGCGTCGCTCCCCTGCTGGGGCAGTAGGCCGGCCTCTCTTCGCGGTCGGTAGGTAAAGTGCCGGCGGCGGAGGGTCACCAGCCGCGCGGCGTTGGCTGGGGCGTTGGGGTCGTTGTGTCTTGACAGCGACGCTGGTAGTCTTTTCTACGACAGCGGGAGCGGCCGCGTTAGCCCTAAACGGGCTTCGCGGCTGTCTGGCGAGTCTCTGCTAGCGCCCGACCTTCTCTTCCCGGACCCTACGCCAGCAGCGACCCTGAGCCGACACCCGGAAAGACCGGTAATGGCGGCCTCGACGGCCTCGCACCGGCCCATCAAGGGGATCCTGAAGAACAAGACGTCTACGACTTCATCGGTGGTGGCCTCGGCCGAGCAGCCCCACCGGAGCGTTGAAGAGGAGCTGAGGTGAGAGCCGGAAGGGACGGTCAGGGAAGCCCCTCCTTCCCGGGCGGGCGAGTGCCGGCGCCGCCGCCGTTACCGACCCCGACCCGTGCGCTGCCGGAGGGAGAGGCTGAGCGGATGCGGCGCCGCCCGGCTTTGCTCCTCCGGCCCGCGCCGGGTGGGGTGATTCCAGAGAAGGCAGGAGCTGTGGCATTTATTGTTCGTTTCATTTTTTAAAGTATGTGTGTATATGTAGTATTTTTAAACAAACATAGCCTTTGAACTTTCCACAATTGGCAGCATTAGAGAATCTAATCCAAATTTCAAAGCTTCACCTCTTAAGCTTTTATTATTTCTTAACTTGATCTCGGAGGCATCTAAAATTTTTCCATAGGAAAAGTATATTTTACCTTTAGGATCTAGGGTCAAGCTGATACACTTCTCAAAAGAACAGACGGTTTGCCCATTAAGCTTCGTGCCACTCTCACTGAGTTCCTGGTTTGTCATTATCTCTACAGTAAAAGAAACCAAAATTTTCCAAGCCTTTGATGTGTGTTTAATGGAAATTTATTTATTGATAAATATTTATGCATCTGCAACTAGATTTTGGGTTCTTTCTAGTTTTTGTTCCTATTAAGAGGTACCAAGTTCAGAGCAGTTCAGAGAACAGCAAGTTGAGATAGTCACTCTAAGTAGCGTGTGTAATGTAAATAACTGGCAACAACCCAAGGTCCAATAGTAAGAGCTGGTGAAATATTAATTCTGGTGCATTTGTATAATGGAACATTATGCTAGCCTTAAAAAAATGTGAAGCGTTTTGTGTACAGAGAAAGATATCTAAGGTACAATGCTCAATGAAAAAAAAGATGTTGCAGTGTAGTATCTATAGTATAAAATATACTCCTGGGTTAGAAGTGTAAGAGATCATGGATGTTATAGGATATTGGAACTATAAGGACTCTGCATTCTGGAAATAAGGCCTAAGAAAGTTATTGAAATGTTACTCATAAAGCTAAAATAAGGATGTTTATGAAATCTTAGAATATTAAAACTAGGGCATTCCTGTAGGAATGATCTAATTTAGGACCATAAAAGGAACTATTATTTTATGGAGGCAAATATTTACGGGGATTTATGCTACCTTGAAGAAAGTACTAACAGTGTAATTTAAAATGGTGGCCTTTTAAGATCAGAAGGGACATTAACTCCTCTTTACATGCACACTCCTTTGGACACTTGAATTTTATTTCCCTCAGACAGTTTTCCAGCCTATTTGGAGAAACTGCTTTAAATGAGAGATTGAGGGTGTCATGGTTAGAGAGATCATGAGATTAAGAACAGAATCTCATTAGAACATAGAACATAACTAGAGCAGGAAGACCAAGATAATTAAAAAATAAATAAAATAACTACCCAACACCCCCAATGCAGCCTTAAGAAGAGTATTCAGCAGCAGGAATATGATTCTCACTGGCTTTTATGTTATTTAGCTGTTATTCAATGTGAGCTTCATACTGTCCAGCTATCATGTATCTTATTCTTTTCCTCTTAACTTTTGTTTCCTTCTCTATCTCAAGTTTGATCTGCTCTAACCCATGACCCCCACTCTAGGGTTAGCCTCTCTGTAATTGACTGGCATTTAGATCCAGGTTTTTACTATACTACACTGACTCAACAAGGTACAATCGCTGCTTCTGTAGTCACTTTTGGTGAGGCAGACTCACTTAAAAGGGATTTTTGCAAGGTGAGGGACTGACTTGACTAGTGGAGGGTTATATCCTTGTTTTCAAAGGGACCTATGAAGCCCTAATTCATTGAGGTTCGTAATGTTTAGTTTCAGGTGGCAAAGGAAATGAGCTCTTTCATGATCAGTGTTATATGACTGTAAAGCACAGAAACGAATTATATTAGTAATACAGTATACATTATTATTTATGTTACAGCTCATTGCAAGCAATATTAGTAACTTTATGAGAGCTGCTTTGAACAGAAACAATAAAAATAAAGTTGAACACATTTGAACTTTCTATAGTGTTTATGTTCCTTCACATAGGATTCCAACATTTCCCGTCTTGTATAAAAAGAACTGAAAATAAATAGCTCTTGCAATTTACAATGCACTTAAAAATTAAGACACTCATAAAGATAATGTAATGGTCTATGTGAAAATGATCAAAGAGTATAAGGCAAGAATCTAAGTTGATTATCATTACTTGCAGTAATTATGTTCTGTAAAGTCCTCATAGGTGCTAAATTAGTAAATACCAAACCCTTGCTGCCAGGGGAAATTGTGGGCTTTGGTTTCTACAAGCCTCTAGTCTCATTTTCATCAACTGATTAATATATAACCTTGTTTTCTGTGTGTTTCTATTTAAGGACATCTTATTTAACATATTGATTCATTAGCCTTAAATTCATGGCCAATAGTACTCTAACTCTTACCTGAAAAAAGTTTATCTACCAAGTCACGTGACAGCTTTGTTCTTAGGAACACTAGCCAGAACTTTGTTCTTGGTAGCCATTCACCAATAAAAATACAAAAATATGGTGCTAGCTGGGTGTGTTGGTACACACTTGTAATTCCAGCAACTTGAGAGGCTGAGGCCAGGTCAACTTAGCACAACCCCAATTCAAAATAAAAAGGGCTAAAAATGTAGAGCGCCCCTGGTTTTAGTTTCCAGTACTGCAAAACAACAAAACAAAAACCCCATGGTACTAAATAGACCATGAAAAATATACTTTTACAGTACAAAAGCTGAAAGAAGTAATCCAGGTATTGCCTTTGGCTTCAACTGGGAATATGTACAGTGAACAACCCCCAAATTTTTTAGTCTGCTTGTGTTTGTGAGCAACCACTAAGGCACCTCCAATACTAGTTTTGGGATTGCAAATAAATTTGAGCAAGTAAGTGAATCCCCACATAGAGAATACACAAATAATTAAGAGGAACCCTACCTTCTGTTGGTGCCTTTACTGTGTAAAATGCAGTTATTTCATCTCTGTCCTCTATTATAAAGAGATTTATTACCAAGAGATTTTTTAAAGGGAAAAAAATTAAAACACTTCAAATATATATGTTCATAATTCATATACACATATGAGTACTAACAACACATAACTTTCAAGGTTCAATATACACATAAAGTGAGGTCTATAAATTTGAGGTTCATATCTCAAATAGACTTAAGCATTTTTTATTTTTTGATACAGTTCTAGTTAGAACTAATCAAGCCATCAGTAGTGGGCTTTTTAGTTGACTCAGTGCTGTTATTTTCTTATAGTTCTCTTTATATTTTGCAGTGGTTCTTTTTAGTTTCAGTGAGTAGTTTCTTCAGGTACCATTTGTCTGGTACCATTTTTTTGAGGGTTAATTAAAACCAAACAGGATCCATAAATCCACATAATTAGGCAAAGATAAATCTCAGTACACCATAGCACAGTTATACTTCAACTAGTTCGAACACCACTGTCCTATGATTGTGGAATTCCTATTCTTTGATATCAAGATATCTCAAATGTAGTACACAACTTGTGAAGGTCTAACCTGACAGACTTAGTATGTGTGAGTATTTTGTTGAAAGTAAGATACCATTGATTCTAAGATATACCATCAAGAAAGAAAAATTATTGCCAGTTATGTTTATAAGATGCCATCCATTTTAAGATGTATTATTTTTCAGAAACTAAAGTGTGAAAATGTTCATTTTGAGTTATGAAAATATGATGTTAAATGTTACTAATGCTGTCATGTGAAAAGTATTATAGTTTAGTGCTTAATCAAGAACTAGATTGCCTGGGTTCAGATCTTGTCTGCCACTCCATTAGCAGATTTTATTACCCCTGATTTTCAGTGAGCTATTTTTATCTATACCTTTTTAAGTATTAAATGAGTTAATAAATTTAAAGTGTTTAACCCTAAACTGTTACTCTATTACTCTGTTAGTTGAGAATAATAGAAATTTAGAACTCTAATTTTCCCCACATTTCGGGTTGTTTTTACATTATCTCTTTTGGAATTTGCTACTCTGTTCAATCTGACTTCTACAGTAGTCTTAGATAATACAGGTAAATTCAGCTTGAAAAATTTATGCTTGGATTTTCTTTGATATAATGTAAGATATAAGCATGCTCCAACTTCGTCTTTCTGCCTATTAAAGGGACATGGAATATTATATCCAAAGCTTTGTTGAGTAAAAGAAAGTTTGTTTTCCAAAAGTTACTTTTTGCGCTCTCGTGATAGTTTTTATTGTTATATGTCTTACTTTAATTGTTCAGTAGTGGTATCAAGCTTCAAAGTCTTGTGCTTTGTCAACCTATGTTGAATCTTTATTAAAAGAAAAACATTTATTGAAATGTGCAATTAGAGGTTTAACACCTTGAAGCAAAATCCGCCATTCCATTTCAATCATAGAACTATTAAGTGACAAGAAGTACAAGTAGTTCTTTGAGATGGCATCTCATTAGCTAACAAAATAAAAAATGGTGACTTTTTCAGGACCAGATTTAGGCTGTAGGAAAACCAGTTACCCAAGGGGGAGGGAGGAAACTGAAACCAGCAGGTACTTTCACCATCACAGCAGAGCTGCCATATAAGTGGTGGTTCCCCTATTTTTGTCTGCAGAGATATCCAAAGAGGTCATACATTTCATTATGGTATTGGGATTAAACTCAGGTTTGCTCCTTGAGTTTTGTTTCTCCACAGTTTCTACCAAAACTTTAGAGGTGCTAATTTCCATACCCCGTGGTTTCTTTTTTTCACTAATTTTCCACCTAAAAAATTCTTAGCATTTTTTGAGCCTGTTTTTTTTTTTGTTGTTGTTGTTGTTTTGGGATCTGGGAATTGAACCCAGGGAATGCCAAGCCACATCCCCAGGCTTTTTTTTTTTTTATGTTTTGTTTTGAGACAGGGTCTCCCTATGTTGCCTAGGGCCTCACTAAATTGCTAGGCTGGCCTTGAATTGAGATCCTCCTGCCTCAGCCTCCCCAGTGGGATTATAGGCATACACCACCATCGCGCCTGGCTGGAACTTTTTGTTTTAGACCCTTATTTAAAATGCTTGTTTTTGTAAGATGATTATCTTTTTTGGATAAGAACAATTCTAAGGATTTCTTTTTCTCTTATGCTAAGGAAATGCACAGGTTGAATGTTACTTTGAATATATAAAACTTTTAATTTTCATTTACAGTGGAAAGTAATAAATGACAGGCTGGGGAAAAATTGGGTTATGTATATAATGTGGTTATTTATGTGAATCTACAGAATTCACTCAAATTAACAGGAGAAAATTACCAATAGATAGTCAAAAGATATAAACAATTCACACAAGGAAAGCAAAATAAGCATTTGTCATACTATTTATTAGATAATGAGCAAAGAAATACAAAACACCTCTTAAATACTATTTTATACTTGCTGAAGTGTAAAAACAAACCCACAGATGCTCAGCCCTAGCAATGTTTTAGTGATTATTAGAGACTTCACAAATAGTCTTCTCTATTAAAAGTTGTATAGAAAGCTGGGTACAGTGAAACATGCCTTGAGTCCAGCTACTTGGGAGTCTGTGGCAGGAGCATCACTTGCGTCTCCAGTCTGGTCCATAACAAGAATCTGCAGGTAGCTCAGTGATTGAGTGCTCCCAGGGCCCAGGTTTGGATCCCCAGTACCACCACCACCACCCCCCGCCAAAAAAAAAAAAAAAAAAAAAAAGGCTGTGTAGCAGCATAGAGCTATACCACAAAGCCCTTGATAAATTTTAACTCAGAAACACTATCCTAGCAAATTGTCCTAAAATCATCAGTGAATAGAATACATGTAGATATGCCCATTTTTGCCTTGTTTTAAATAGGAAAATCTTGGATTCAATTTAAATATCTAAATTTGGTATTTTATTATGTTATAAAAGTGTTTTGTTATGTTACTTACCTAGGTTTTTTAAGTGTTTTATTATTATTCAATCATTAAGAAGGTTAAAAACTAGCCAGGTATGTTGGCAGATGCTTATAATCCCAGCTGCAGCAGGGGATCAAGAGTTTAAGACCAGCCTGGGCAGCATGGAAGGACTCTCTCTCAAAAAGCAATAAAAAGGGCTGAGTGTGTAGCACAGTGATGGAGCACCCTTGGATTCAAACCCCAGTACTGAAGAAAAAGTAAAAAAGGAAACTATTAATGGCTTAGGGTGCATGGATTGTACTTATTAAATTTTAGTCTTAATTTTAAGAAAAGACAATTTGTACTGTGTCCTGTAGTTCTTTTTCTTCTGTCATTAACTTGCAAAACAGATTTATAAGGTGTTAATATATATAATAATATAATATATAATAATAATATATATAATAATATTATATAAATAATATAAGGTGTTAATAATGTCTCTTCCCCTCACTAGTGGTCCATCTTCATTCTTTTTGTATCTTAAATAATGATGATAAATTGTCGTTTTTAATTTATTTACCATTTAGGAATAACTTGTTTTATGTTGAGATTAGGAAGCACCCAACACGGTCATTTAAGTTTATTTTTAAAATGTATTCTTGTAATATGCATCCAGAAAAGAGTATTAAATGTAAAGTTTAAAGCTTAAGAAATTAATAAGGGGCTGGGGTTGTGGTAGAGTGCTCACCTAAAATATGTGAGGCACTGGGTTCAATCCTCAGCACCACATAAAAAATAAATAAATAAAATAAAGGTATTGTGTCCAACTACAGCTAAAAAAAATAAAAATAAAAGAAATTAATAAAAAGCAATCGCCTTTGTATCTACCATTCTGATCAAGAAATGAAATGTTTCTATGAATTCAGAAATGTCCCTGCCATTTCAGTCTTCTCCTTTCCCTGAATAGAAATAATCATTCTGACTTAGTTCTGATAATTATCTAAATACACATCCCTACACTGTAGTTTTGCCTGTTTGCCCATGATGTAAATGGAGATATCCTAGTTTTCCTTCACATCTTTAGTAGGAAATATTTATTAGGAGGGAACATTTAGTTACAACATGAGCTTTCCTTATTAATTGGATTGTTTCTTTCACAAAATCTACTTTTTTTTTTTTTTTTAACATATTTATTTATTTAGTTAGTTATTGACAGACACAACATCTTTGTTGGTATGTGGTGCTGAGGATCGAACCCGGGCCACACGCATGCCAAACGAGCGTGCTACCGCTTGAGCCACATCCCCAGCCCCACAAAATCTACTCTTAAAACTTGTACTTGGCCAGGTGCAGTGGTACAGGCCTGTAATTCCAGCAACTCAGGTGGGTGGGATATGAGGATCATAAGTGTGAGACCAGCCTAGGCAATTTAGCAAGACTTCTCTCAAAAAGTAGTAAAGTGCTTCTCTAGCCTTATGAAGCCCTGGGTTTGATTCCCAATACCCAAATTTTTTTTTTAAGATTTTTTTTTTTCATTATCCTGTGAATCAGAATACCCTTGACTATTTTATTTCTCTTAAATCTTAGGATATTGCAAACCTGATAATTGGCTTTCTAAGTCAAAAATTTGTAGGTGATAGAAATATTTACCAAAATTAAATTTCTAAAACTAGATTTAATTGGAAATGGAAAGCAGATTGCTTTTTAAAAGTGCTCATTCTGTGGCAGGCCTTAAGTCTAAATCATTTCAAGCGCAGTTGAAACTTCTTTTCAGGATGCCATATCTGAACCCATCTTCTACTGTGCTAAGGAAGACGTTGTTTCAGGATTCTTTTTTGCTCTACTGGGGATTGGACCCAGGGATGCTGCACCACTGAACTACATCCCCAGCCCTTTTTACTTTTTATTTAGACATTCTCCTCCCTAAGTTGCTGAGGTTTGCGTTGAATTTTGGATACCTGTATCTCAGTCTCCTGAGTCACCAAGATCAGAGGTGTGTTCCATCTCACCTGGCTTTGTTCAGGATTCTTAACCCAAGATTTCATTTCAAAATCATAAAAGCTCCTTATATTTGCATGGTACTTTTATAAGTACCATTTGGTTTTATAGACATCATTTCAGTTGATTCTCTCAACAATTCTAAGTCATAAGAACTGTTATTAAACTCCCCTCTTATTATAATGTCTATATAAACATAACCCAAGAGAGAATGTTTACTGAACTTGTCTATAGTCACAGGACTAGTGAAGGATAACTGAAATTTAAACCTTAAATGTCTCCTAGTTGAGTTTGTTTTGTTTTCTGCCACAATACCAGTTATTACTGGGATAGAATCCTAGGCATCTGTGGAAATCAGTGTTATTAAAGCAAGATCCTTTTTACTCAGTCTAGTTCAGTCAAGTGACTCTCTTTGGGTATTTGTGACACTTAAATTGGTTAGTTGAAAATTCAGGTGAATGGAGTGGATATCCCTGTGAGTTCTATGCTGAATGAATACCACAGCATTTAAAATGTTATTTCTCTGCTTAAAAATGACAACTCATGTGTCTTAAATTTTTCTTACAAGCTTTGAAGGTTTTGACCATTTCAAAGTGAAAAAACTAGGTAATTTCTGACATTGATTTTTGGAGAAAACCGGGAATTGTAGTTTGGATTACCTGTGGAATATCTGGGCCAACTTTTGCCTATTGAGAAAATGAAGGGTAATTAAGACTTGAAGCATAATCAAAAGTGCTTAGTTTGGCTGCGCTGGAATGTTATTCAGCTTTAAAAAAGATTCTGACTTAAGCTAGAACATAGATGAACCTTTTAGACATTATGTTAAGTGCCTTTACAAAAAGACAAATTCTGTATGATTTCAGTGAAGTGAGATACCTAGAGTAGTCAAATTCATAACAACAGAAAGTAAGATGGTGGTTGCCAGGAGCTGGGCAAAGGGAAATACGGGGAGTTAGTATTCAACTGTAGAGTTACAGTTGGGGAAGATGAAAAAGTTTTTGGAGGAAGATGGTGGTGATGATTGTGCAACAGTGTGAATATGCTTCATGCCACAGGATTGCACTTTAAAATGGTTGAAATGGTGAACTGTACATTATGTATATTTTTACTGCAATAAAAAAATATTCTTAGTCTGAAATGTGGACACTGAGTCTTAGAGTAGAAAGCAAGAAAACAAAAAGTCATACTTACCTGCTAGAAGTGGATGTGTAATTGTTGAAATGACTCGGGAAACCCATTTGAGAACATGAAGAAGGGAATATGGTATTAAGTACATCATTCTTCAAGATTTGGGAAATCAAAAATATGTAAAGTAAAATCTATCCAATTTGGACCAAATGCAGAAATGGTGATTTGACTCACTGTTTAAAATTTTACATTGATTTTCTTTTAAATTAGTTTTATTTTCAATTACATAACAAAATTCACAAACTGTATAATGTAAAAAAAAATAATGTTGACTGGTAGACTTTTGAGGACCTTTTTAATGGGTGGATAAGAATTTATAATTAAGGCATTTAATTATTAAGCACTTTAGTAGTTGCATAAACACTTTATTGAATGGATATTATCAGTTATTCCTAAAGCATTTCTGTTTCCCTTAAGTAAATCCTAATTTTCTAGATTAAAGGCAGATTAAGCTATAATTTTATTCTCAATTTTAACTTAGTATAGATTTTGATTTAGAATTTGATGAGGCTTTCTCTGTAGTTTTATGTTCTCATTTGTAATAGCTATCCCGAAGAAATTATGCCAAGAAAATATTTGTTATGTTTTTTTAGATTAGTTATTGATATCTAGTAAATCAAAAATATGTAACTAATGTGATTCATCAATCCTGGATTTTTATTATTTCTAATTCTACAAGCCAGATAAAGACTAAGCATGTGATAGTATTTTGAATGCCTTATATATATTCTGAATACTTTGTTTATAATATATGGATATTAAGCGTTCTTTTTGTCTTTATTCTAGTAAAAAATCCCAGAAGTGGGATGAAATGAACATCTTGGCAACATATCATCCAGCAGACAAAGACTATGGTTTAATGAAAATAGATGAACCAAGCACTCCTTACCACAGGTAATGTTACACAGTCATTATTCCTTCTTAAACTTATTTCCATCTTAAATTGATTGCAGTTTTTAGATAACAGCTGATTTGAATTTGTGTTTTATTTCATATTTATTACTACACTAATTAATAAAACAGTTGCATAATTTTTTATTAATAGTTTGTATCACTTTAAAATTCTGAATGCCATTTTGTACATTAATAGTAAACATGTATTTGTTGTACCTTAGTGATTATTAGTTGCTAGTGATGCACATAGATTAGTGAGCTTTATCTTTCTTGAAAGGAAGATGATATTTGGGTTTATTTGCTTCCCAAGTAGAAAGTAGAAACTTATTCTGTTGCTTTGCAGAAAATAACTGCATAGATGGTAACTCTTTCCTAACACACTGAACCGACAGATGGTTATCACTACCTCATTACTACTCTTTCATGTTCTCATGCACCCCACTGCTCCCCTACCCATAGAGGAGATTGGATGATTTATACTGAGCTATATCCCCAGCCACCTCTATTCCCCTCCCTTTTTTGAGACCAGGTCTTGCTAAGTTCCTGAGACTGGCCTTGAACTTGGGATCTTCCTGTCTTAGCCATCTGATGACTAGAGCTAAAATTATAGACCTACCACACTTAGCTCACATTCTTTTTTTTTTTTTTTTTTTTTGAGCTTCCCTAATCTATTAGTTCATTGTGATTTTTGGCATTTTTGAGTCTCAGAATTTTTTTATTTTTTTTAATGAATTAGTAAATGATGTTGTGCTGCAGTATCCAATAAGAAAACAAAAAAGCATGAGAAGATGGATATTCTAAATAAGTTTAATAAGTAAATAAGATTATGCCCTAATTTGGTTGAAAAATAAAGATTTCTAGGACTAAAACAATTTGTCATTGAAATAAAACAACATAAGTTCATAAGTCACCATTAAAATAGAGATAAAAAAATATGGTATTTTAAACCAATGGATGAAAACTTTAGAGGATAATTTGATACTAACAAAACAAGATGTTAAAGAATGCGACAAGACTAAGGAGAAATAATGAAGGTAGTTACAAATAATGATGCTTAATACTAATAAAATTTGAAGAAACACATGAAAAAGTTCATACCTTCTAATTATAGGTATATACCTTAAAACATATTTTATTGAACCAGAATCCAAAATCAGGGCTTTCTTTGTTCTCAGTAAACATGGTGTAGCCATGCCTTACTTACCTGTGTTAGTTGGAGATAATTGTCCTAAAATAATTCAGATTGGACATGATTTAAGAAAAAAAAAAAAATGTAGGCATTATTTTTTTGCTCGTTCATATCTGATGGATCTAAATGAATGGGATATTTGACTTTGTTTCATTTTGGCTTACCTATAACTTTATTCTAAGAGTTGCTGAAAGGTTGGTTGATCCCTAAGTAATTGAAGCTGTATGTATACACAGATACATATTCACAGCTTTTATCAGTTCATTGCTCAGTTTTACCATTCTATCTGTAAATTTTATAATATAATCTAGAATTTTCTTGTAGAACATGTCTATAAATTGACAAATTATGTATATTTTACTCTACTCTGCTTAATTAAATCCAATAATGTAGATGAGCTTAATTCAATTGAGTTTTGCTTCATATACATTCAATGGCTTGAGAATTAAGGATGCCTTTTTTTTTTTTTTAAGAATTTTTTTTCACAGGAGACTGGGGTTGTGGCTCAGTGGTAGAGTGCTCGCCTCATACATGTGAGGCACTGGGTTCGATCCTCAGCACCACATAAAAATAAATAAACAAAATAAAGATATCGTGTCCATGTATAACTAAAAAAAAAAGAATTTTTTCACAATACCTTTATTTTTATGTGGTGCTAAGGATCAAACCCAGTGCCTCACAAATGCTAGGCAAGTGCTCCACCATTAAGCTACTACTCCAGCCCCAAGGATACCCATTTTTGCAGGGACATGAGGTATATTTTTTCCTAGATAATAGAATGAGAAAATTAAAATAGCTTTCAAACTTCCTGAATTAGGTGTTTAATATCTAATTTTGTTATTTTACCTAGTCTTTTGTCTGCATAGATCATGTGTCTTGGTGTGTGTGTGTGTGTGTGTGTGTACACACACGTACACACATATACAAATACATACACATACATATATATGTGCGTGCGCGTGTGTGTGTTTTTTAAAATGTTGGTGGTCCTTTATTTTATTTATTTATTTATATGCAGTGCAGAGAATTGAACCCAGGGCCTCATACATGCTAGGCAAGTGTTATACCACTAAGCCACAACCCCAGCCCTGTCTCTGTCTTAATGGTTATGTGTAAATACATATTCTAAAACCAGACAGAAGTTTACTTTCATTATTTGTTTAAACTTAAGTATCAAAAATTTGATAACGGAGTAGTGAATATATTGATATTTTAATTAAGTTGATAGGGTTATGTTTTCTTAACTTCTTTTTCTAGTGGGAAAATAATTTCACGTGCTAATTACAGCCTGCTTGTCATTCTAGTATGATAGGTGAGGATGAAGATGCATATAGTGATTCAGAAACCACTGAAGCTATGTCTCCAGATGTCTTAGCTAAGAAGTAAGTAGTAAAGCACCTTCACTTACATAGTTTTTAATTGTACAAAGTTATATTTTACATTGCTTTATTTCTATAAATATAAAAGCTTAAGTTTATCTAATTTTTGTGGATTCAGAGGGTGAGGGGAGCAGTTCTGGGGAATTAAACCCAGGGTTACGTATGCTAAGCATATGTTGTGCCACCGAGCAACATCCCCAGTCCTTATCTAGATTTTTCATACCAACTATTATAATCTCATTTCTTGATTAAAATAAATGTATGCAGATGGCAGGAAGATTAGAGTACCTAAACTGAACATGTTGAAATGTGTCTTATTTCCTGTGGATTTGTTTTTTCAATATTATGTTATCTGAGTTTTAATTTTTAGCTAATTCCTAAAAGCTCTCTTCCTTTTCTATCATTGATTTCTTGTACCCATCCCACTGTTCCTTTTGCTTATTGGTTTCTACAACCAATTTTACTCATTTGCTTTTCATTTTCCATATCAGGTTATAGCTAGTATATTAATGATCTTCAGATGTTTTCATGAGTCTCAAAAGTTGATTAAGACAAATAATATAAGGATATCACAGTCTTAACTTCTTTGTAAATGATTGTTGTATAGATTATCTGCTGCTGAAGGCTCAGAACCAAAGTATCAGTCTCGGGAACACGAAAGCAGTGGAGAGGAGGATAGTGAACTCACACCTGAAGAACAAGGTAATTTCCTTTTCTGCTTTCAGCATGAAGCTTATAATTTTTGCAAAAAGAAAGAAAAAGAAAATTATTTGGAAGATTGGAAAATGATGGTAAGAAAATGGAAAGCAGTATTTTTATAATTCACATTCTACCAATATGCGTTTATTATATAATGTCGTCCCCCCCCCCACCCCCGATTTAAAATATTCCGGAGACATTTTTGTCATCTTTACAGCCATTGTTAAGTGTTCCTTTCTTTGTACTTTTTAGTGTCTGGTACATTGCGAATACATGTTAAATTAAAGCAGCCAGGAATAGTAGTACATGCTTGTAATCCCAGGGACTGAGGAGTCTGAAGCAGTAGGATTGTAAGTCTGAGGCTAGCCTCAACAATTCAGTGAGACCCTCAAAAACTTAGCAAGAATCTGTCTCAGAATTTTAAAAAATTAAAATCTTTTAGAAAGGATGTAGCTCCAAGCTAATGTGCCCCTGGGTTCAACCCCCTGTACAGCTGGTGCAGAAATGTAATGCTCTCAGAGTCATTGAGTGTTTGAATGATCTTGAAGTAGGTAACTAATAGCTCATTTCCTTCTTGCTCATTCTTTTTCTGTTTTAAGATAGTGGTACATTTTATGAAATGTGCCAAGATGGTCAAGTGTAGAGTGAATATCTATATAGGGCCCATAAAACAAAAAGAGAGACAGGTGCAGTAGCGCACACCTGTAATCCCAGTGATTCGGGAGGTTGAGTCCAGGCTAGGCAACTTAGCAAGACCCTGCCTCAAAATAAAATATAAAAACAGCAGGGAATGTAGCTCAGTGGTAGAGCACCCCTGGGTTCAATCCCCAGTACCACTTTAAAAAAAAAAAGAGCAGCATTGTCATACTTCTTGACCAAGGAAATGGAAACAGCCATTTTTTTCAAACAGGAGTGGAAGATGCTCTTATAGACCATACAGTATTTACACAGTTAAGGCATTGCTGCCTACTCCCAGTTTCTGTTTTTACAACTGACAGTGACTATCTGTGGAGGTGGGGAAAGAAGGAATATATTTTACCTTGTTAACTTTTTATACTTTGTGAACATGTAAATGTAGTCTTCCCAATAATTAATAAATTGTATACAGTTGACCCTTCATAGATAAGATTCTATATCAATGGATTTAACCAACCATGGATTGAAAAATATTTGAAAAAAAAAGTATGTACTGATCATATACAGATTTTTTTTTCTCACTGTAACAAACAATATCGTATTAACTATTTACATAGCATTTACATTGTATCAGGTATTTTAAGTAATCTAGAGATTATTTAAATTATACAGGATGTGGGGAGGTTATATGTAAATACTGTGCCATTTTATATAAGTGACTTGAGCATCTGAAGATTTTGGTATCTGTAGGGGATCCTGGCACCAAACCCTCAAATACTGAGGAATGATGATATATGGTTTATTTTCAGTTTTTCTTAAAGGAAAAAACAAAGGACTGGGGGGATGTAGCTCAGTAGTAGAGCACGTGCCTAAAATGCATGAGACCCTAAGTTTGATCTCTGGCACTACCAAAAAAGAGAAAACTAAATGTATATGGTAAAAGATTAAAAAAAGAAAGAAAAGAAAAAACATACACATGCTCTCAAAATAATTGAAACTTTACAATGTGGGGACTACTGTACCATAAGTAAATTTAGAAACATTAGAATTGACTCCAAATATTTGCTAGTTAGTTAGTTATCAGAATCTTTGTCATGTATAGCTACTTAAGTATAATTTGCTATTCTTTTTATCTTCAGAATATTGCCAATTCAATGAAACTTTGATGGTGTGAACCTAATATTTGTTCAAAAGAGAAATTTTCACTTATCTCTTCTAAATGTCTTTCTGACTTGTTTTTTCAAAATATACCCCAAAAAGCCTTTGAAATGGGATTTCAAATAGAAATTATTTCTAGGTTTGGTTCCTCATTATTTTTCAAAAAACAGGGAATTTTTTTTTTTAACGTGTATTGAAGAGTTTGGATGATCTTGGTAATTAGGGATGTTTCCTCAAGTTGTAGTTACATGAACAAGCCTCTAGGGGGTGCCATTTGACTAATTTCATGTCCCACTGAAAAGAGTTAATAAATTATATAGGGAATTTTTTTCCCACTTTTTAATTTTTCCTCTTTTTTTTTTAGTCATCCCAATATTAGTACATGTAGTATCAAATCAAGCACTGTTCTATCACTTTAAACAGTTACATGTCTGAAAAAAATCATTGCTTATTGATAGATTCTTAGATTATCTTGTAATTTATAGCACAGCAATTAAGATTATTGACTATGGAGTCTGACAAGCCTATGTTTGTGCTCCAGATATGCCATTTGGCTGATTTGCTTAATTTCTCTGAGCTTCAGTTTAGTTTAGTTTTGGTTTGGGGGGTTGTTTTGTTGTTGTTGTTACTATGTATTTAACCCAGAAGCACTTAATCACTGAGCTACATCCCTAGCCCTTTTTAATTTTTTTGAGACAAGGTTTCACTAAGTTGCTGAGGCTACCCTTGAACTTGCTATTCTACTACTTCAGCTTGTCACAGGGATTCCATTTGTGTGCCACTGTGACCAGCCTTGGTTTCTTATTTCTAAAATGAGAGCCATAAGAATACTTGTTTTAGAGTTAAATGTGTTGTGGTGCTTACCTGTAGTGCCAGCTACCCTGGAGTCTGGGTAGCACAGTGAGACCTCCATCTCAAAAAAAAAAAGTTTAATTTTAGAGTTGTTGGTGGCAAATGAAATAAAGCATTTAAAGCACTTACCGCTGATCCTGGCATATTATAAGTGCTTAGTAAATGTTAACTTTTAATAACTTAAAATAATCGAGATAATCCCCATAAAAAGTAAAAGTAGATAAAAAGCATAATTCACTTATTGAGTTCATATAAATTGACTATTATTAGAACTAGTTCTGAAACTCAAATGTTCATTTACTCTTTGCATTATGTTGCTCTGCCATACAAAGATTACAAATATAAATACTAATATTCAGAGAAGCCAGGTGTGGGGGCATGCACCTATAATAAGCAACTTGGGAGGCTGAGGCAGGAGGATTGCAAATTCAAAGCCAGCCTGGGCAACTTAGTGAGACACTATCTCAAATTTTTAAAAAAGGGCTAGGAAAGTAGCTCAGGGTTGTAAAACACCACTGGCCTCAATTGCTAGTAGTGAAAAATACACACACATGTGTGTATAATATATATTCAAAGAAGATTGAGGTCATTTATATTAGCTTTCTATGAAATGAATATTATATTTTTAAATTATATAATAAATTTTGAATATTCCAAATTTATAACAAACAAAACCAAGTTTAAGCCAGGCACAGTGTTGCATACCTATAATTCCAGCAATTTGGAAGGCTGAGGCAGGAAGCCCGAAAGCAATTTAGTAAGACCCTGTCTCTAAATAAAATATAAGAAAAGGTTGGGGTTGTGGCTCAGTGGTTAAACCCCCTGGATTCAATCCCTGATACGCACCACCCCCCCCAAAAAAAAAAAACCAAGTTCACTATCTTATAGACTTAAAACGAAATATTTTCTTAAACAATAGAAATATAATTCACAAAGAGAAAAATATTGTAATATCAAGTCCTAGAAATAAGAAACTACAAATTAAAACAGCTCATGACCAGCCATTGTGGCCCATACCTATAATCTCAATAACTCAGGAGGCCAAAGCAGAAGGATCCCAAATTCCAGGCCAGCTTCAGCAATTTAGCAAAACACTGTCTCAAAAAATGAAAAAGACTGGGGATGTGGGTCTGTGGTAAAGCACCCCAGTACCACAGATAGATAGCATTGTGGTACCTTTCTTTCCTTTCCCTGAATTTCATCCCCACTGCTGGAGAAAAGCAATAATTCGATGAAATCTTTACAGTGGTGATATTATTTTCATTGGTAAACAGTTGGCAGTATAACAATTTCTCTTTTAATATGAATGTGGAGAAATGGGTTACCTACATCCTATCAGTGAGTTGAAAAATGATTTGGCCATTTGTATTTTTACCAATATCCATTTATATCTGTACACATAAAATTACAAAAGTAAAATTTGCACAAATTTACTGTGCTTTATGTGATAACATTTCAGTTTATCTTGTTTTATTTCGTCTTTTTAAATGTTGATTGTAGTTTACTAAAGATGCATAATGTAGTTTGAAAAACACTAGTTAAAGTTAATATGAGACTGTCCTGGGAATATTAGGCTATATAATCATCCTGATATAATAAATGAAAAACGGACTTTAAAAATGGACTTACTTAGTATATAATTCATTTTTACAAAATATGTATTTAGAGAAAAGTCAGTAAAATGTTGTTAGTGGTTCATTTCTGTTTTCTGTGGAGGCAAGGAAAACTTAAGGAATTACAGGACAATAAGAAAGTATTTTGAATACCTTTATTCTGAGTGATGTCTCTATGGCTTTTTTGAAATTAAAATAATTCAATGAAATCTTTCCCTGCCCCTCAGTTCTGAGATGTAAACATAGGGGTACTTTACCATTGAGCTACATTTTTATCCCTTTTTTATTTTTTACTTTGAGACAGTGTCTTGCTAAGTTGACAAGGATGTCCTCAAACTTGGGATCCTTCTACTTCAGCAGTAAACTGGAATTACAGGTCTGTGCCACTGTGTCCAGCAATAATTCAATGAAATCTTTACAGTGGTGATATTATTTTCATTGGTAAACAGTTGGCAGTTTCATACTGACCCCCTCTTTTCATTTTTATTATTGGTCTTAGAAATTTAAAAATCTGGGCTCACTGATATACAGCAGTAAAGAATCCTTTTAAAGTGCTATTAGTAAGAGGCTTACCAGTTGTGTTGAGTTGCTGCTAACTTTGTTTCTGTGGTGAACACTAGAATCATGGCAGTTTCTTAACAGATAATAAGGATTTTTTTAAAGAAATTTTTTCTTAGTTACAAAAATAGAAATCATGAAAATACTACAACTATTCATAGTTCTTCAACCCAGAAATAACCACTATTAATCATTGAGTTTTATTTTCTCTGTATATGTGTACAGGCTTCATACATCCATCTCTCTCTCTCTCTCTCTCTCTCTCTCTCTCTCTCTCTCCATCTCTCTCTCCATAACATAACATATAGTATCCTAGCTTGCTCTTTGCCCTTTCAGTTCTTGCTAGAAAATTTTCCTATATCTTCACATTTTTTTTTTTTTTTACTAACAATTTGCAATGGCTCTGTCTTATTCCTGTTCTTCCATTGAGATGTGTTTGAACCATTTTAAAGCAGAGGTGATAAATTTTTTCCATGAAGTGCACAGATAGTATTTTAGATTTTGTAAGTTTTATGGTCTCTTAAATGATTCAGTATTGCCATTTAGCACAAAAGCAGCCTTAAACCTGACAAAACCAAGTGAATATGACTGTGTTCCAGTAAAACTTTACTTGGAAAATGGGCTTGGGCAAATCCTTGTCAAGACTTTGTAAGCTTTTTTTTTTTTTTCCTTCTTGTATGTTTTAGAAAAAAAGCGACAATTTGAAATGAAGAGGAAGCTTCACTACAATGAAGGACTGAATATTAAATTAGCTAGACAACTAATTTCAAAAGATCTACATGACGATGAAGATGAAGAAATGTTAGAGACTGCAGATGGAGAAAGCATGAATATTGAAGAATCAAATCAAGGTCAGATGTTTTAAAAATATCACTGAGGCTTTGTGATTCTCTGTGACTAAGATAATATACTTTATTTGGCTTTATACTTATCAAAAACCTCCTAAAAATTTGCTGACTGGCTTTATTATTATGCCAGTGTTTCTAAAATTTTAATCCTGTGGCCAATTTCAAAAGAAAATTTTATGCCTAGAGTTGATTTAAGAGCACGTGTTACAATATGTCTATTTTTTCTTATAGTTTACTTGGCTTTGTACAAGAATATTTATCTTACATAAAAATATACAATATATATCTCTATATAATATATATCTCTATCTGTCTATCTATCTATCTAGTCCTCCCTATCCCCACCCCCGGGCTCCAGTACTGGGGATTGAGCTGTCTCCCCAGTCCTTTTATTTTGTTTTGTTTTTTTAATTTTGAGATAGGGCCTTGCTAAGTTTCTGAGGCTGGACTCAAACTTGTAATCAAATTTGCCTCACTCTCCCAAATTGCTGAGATTACAGGCATGTGCTAGCATGCCCAACATCCTCAGTCCTTTTTATTTTTTTGTTTTGAAACAGTGTCTCATTAAATTGCTGAGGCCGGCCTTGAACTTGGGATACTCCTGCCTCAGCCTCCTGGATTGGTGAGATTATAGCTGTGTGCCACCATGACTGGCTGTTTTAGTCAGCTTTTGCATTGCAGTGACCTAAATATCCAACAAAAACATCAATAGAGGAGAAAAAATTATTTGGGGCTCATGGTTTCAGAGATCTCATCCACAGGTGGCTGACTCCATTACTCACCAGGGGAAGGGCCTTGCCAGGAAAGCTGGGCATTTAGAGCCTTGCACATGCTGGGCAAGTGCTGTACCACTGTACTACACCCACAGACCCTATTTTTGATCATCGGTTATTCTGGTATTTAACAAAGGTAAATATTCTACACTATCAGTGAAGTTTTTTGATACCTACTACCTACACTTTGTATTCACAAACTACTGCTTTTCAGTAGTGTAAATTATTTTATTTGTGGTGCCTAAGATAGTTAAGTTACAGGAAAGTAAACAATTATTATATTGTTTGGGTGAGCATAGTATTAAATATGAGTAATTCTATGATACAGCCTGATGAGTCACTGTCTTATTATAGTGTCAGGATTACAATATTTTTTGTTATCCATATTATGCTTTAGCCTTTTGGCATTTCATTTCCATTGTATATGCTATAGTCTGTTTAGCTTATGTTTAACTTGAACAGATGTCATCTTAAGGAGTATTTGTTACATATCTCTCTTCCTTTTTAAAAATATATTACCTACTTTTTGCTTTCCTAACTCCTAATTGCCCTGGGGTCTTTGTTTCCCATTTTACCTTTATTTTTTTCTTCATTGTGATGATGGGGATTGAATCCAGGGCCTCACACATGGTCAAGTGCCCTACTGCTGAGCTAAATCTTCAGCCCTTGTGGATTTCTTTTGTTGATGTGTTCAAGTGAACGTTTCTTTGTTTATAATTTTTCACCAACTTCTCAGACTTTCAATACCTGACTTTCTTTTTAGAATAGATGCAGTTTTTCTTTTAAGTTGCTGAGGCTGGCCTCAGACTTAATTCTTCGACCTCAGTCTCCTGAATAGCTGAGATGCACAGGCATGCACCACAGTGTCTGGCTTTTTGTGTGTGTGTGATATTGGGGATTGAACTTACTGTGTGCTCTTCCACTGCATCGCCAGTTTTTCTTTTTCTTTCTTTTTTTTTTTTTTGAGAAAGTTTCATCATATTACCAGATTGGCCTTGAACTTATGGTCCTCTTGCCTCAGCCTTCTGAGTAGCTAGGCTTACAGTCAGGTGCAGTTGTCACTCACTCAGTGTCAACTCTTAATGAAATACCCCTCATTACTGCTGGAAGTCTTTACCCAGCACCACTTTGTCAAAGAATAAAGGGATTTTTTTTTAATATTTATTTTTTAGGTGTAGATGCATACAACACAATGCCTTTATTTCTATGGGGTGCTTAGGATACAACACAATGCCTTTATTTTTATGGGGTGCTGGGGATCGAACCCAGGTCCCACCCGTGCTAGGCGAGTGCTCTACCGCTGAGCCACAATCCCAGCCCAGATTTTTTTTTTTAAACCTAGCTTTTGAAAAATAACTCTGACCTTTTGTCCATCTCTGCCTATAAGACATTCACACATTTAATGCGTATCTTTTTCTATGTAAGTATGAATTTTAAGATTTATAGCTCAGTGATTAGTGTTTTTTTTTCAGTGTACTATTTACAAAGGAGTAATTCTGCTTAGCATTATGAAATTCTTTGGGGGCTCTTAATTTTTTTTTTTTTTTAAGCCAGCTTTTAAATCTCTGGGTTCTATAAAATCCATTACTTCTTGAGCATTTAAAGTCTTCTTCCTCTTCCCCTTCCTTTTACCTACCCCCTTTCTCTCTTTGTTTCCACCTGTTTTATTGCTGTTTTTGTAAAGAAAAAAAAGTGTTCAAATTCTAAGGTGTAATATTTTATATTTTCAAGATAAGAAATATAAATCTTTTTTTAGTTTTAGGTATTTGTGTTATCATAAACTCTCCACTGAAATTTACACACAGAACTATTCAATCTGAAACCTGTTTGTCGTATCACCAAATATATACATATTCCTGATATGCCCTTTAGAATATTAAGGGGTGCATAAAGATTTTTTCAGATCAGTCTAATTAGGCCTACAGGTTTTTATGTTTGCTTATTATCCATATCAGTGGAAAGGAGCTTAAGCTCAAATAGTTCCAGGATTAGCAATATGCAGCAAATTATGTTGACTTTTTTTCCCTTTATCTTTGCAGGATCTACTACAAATGACCAACAGCAAAACAAATCACAAAATTCATAGAAGAGATTTGTTCAACATTGCAGTTGTTTGTCAAATACAAACCCTTTTACTATAATACACTGCTTCTTGTTCTCCACAACTCATGACTTAAGTACCAAAATGCATACCAGTTATTATATATTGCCAAGAATTAAATAACCTTAGAGACTGATTAGACTGAAAATGCCTAATTAATGCATATATTCTTGTGCCTCGTACTTCACCACAAATACAGTGTAATGTCATCAGTCCTAAACTGCTTTAGTTTTGTAAGAACACTAGTTAATTTGTATAAGATATTGTAGAGCTTTTTATGCTTTAGAGGTTAAACAGCGTCTTTGGGGGGAGAGGGTGACTAATTTATTTTCATCACTACTAGATGTGATACCTCTTATAAAAAGTTTGTTGGGTTTTTTGTTTATTTTTAACAAAAGTTGATTGGAACAAGAAGATATATAGGTTGATATATATTCAGGCTGAAAGATATTTTAACAGTTGTCTTCAACTTGATTTTTCTGTTTGAGAAAGTTTATAAGTATTATTGATGCATATTCTGGCCTACTCTCTTTAAAATTCCTGTTGAGTTTCTTTGTGTTTACAAGGAAAAGATTGAATTTTTTCTCCTCAGAACTAGCTTTTTTTGACAAATAAACTATCAGGTTAAACTTGCACTAATGTCTGCTCTAACTGCTTGTTTTGGTACACTAAGCAGACCAGATCAGTTTTTTTTTTTTTTTTCCAATAAATATAATTATAGTCATCAGTATTCCCTTTACATATCTGTCTTAAATTTCTGCTTTCGTTTTCTCCTCCTTTCTACACATACGCATACGATTGTAAGGATCACAGAGTTGCTACAATAATGACATTCTTATTTTGGCCATTAGTGTTTAATAGTTCTTCTGATAGATGAAGATCAGTTGAGTAGCAACAATACTATAGGCAGGAAATAAAATTCAACTGCTCAGTTTCTACACCTCTCTTATTTATAGTGTGGTAATTAAATTGCTATTATTAGTTCATTTGACTTAATTAGACGTTAGAAAACAATTGAGGCTTTTTTGCATGATGAGAGAATTGTATGTAACCAGTGATATAATTGTTCCTGAATGTACAGACAGAATTAAGCCTGAACATTTTTTATTTAAAAAATTTTAAATAGTTCCTGATTTAAGGGAATATGATAATGTATACTATGATAAATGTACTTTATTCTTCTAACACAGTAGGAATTATTTGGTTTTTGTTTGGTTCTGAAATGAAGTGCAGTTCTTGTGTATCTTGATTTAGTGATGGTTTCATTTCTAGTCAATTATTTATATCTTAATTTTTTGTTAGTACCAAAAGAATCCATTATCTGAATAGACTTTTAAAACAATTTCTGTATATTATATATATATATATATGAAATGGCTTTTATTGAACAGCTTATCTTCCACTTGCAGGTTTATGGAAATATCAGTATGTTGAAGTAAATAAAAAGTGGGAGGATTCTTTGCTGTTAGAAGAATGTGCTTATTATTTTGAATGTCATGGAATCTAATCAAAGTACCTCTGAAATATAGTGTGGTATTTTAATCATTTTAGCTAGTAATACCACTGATTTATCAGCAAAACAATGTTTATCTCTGTTTTGTGTTTAGTCTATACACAAGTGTGTACATATGTTCATACACCCAGACCTCTGTTTTTGGCTTCGTCTTTTTCAGTTCTTAGAAAGTATTCACATACTCCTACAATTAGCTGCTGTACAGTGAAGAAAAATTAAGACTTTTTAACAACTGATTCTTTTTTTTTTTTCCCTACAAACCATTTATTGAAACTTAAAACTTATTTCTAGTTTCAGAGAGTAGATAATTATCTCATAGGAGTAAGACTTGCCAGATAGCATGGTTGATAAGATTTTAGATAGTCAAACACTACTAATAAAAATGTTTTTGTCAAATTATGAGTTCCTAATTGACCTGGTATTGGATAAGCAAAAAATGAAACTTTGTGGACTTGAGAGTATAGCTCAGGGGTACCTTTCTGGCATGTATGAGGCCCTGGGTCTGATTCCCCCATATTGCAAAAAAATTAAATTTTTTAAAAAGTAAAGCTTAGAAAGTAATCTGTATTTAGTTTTAGCCAAGGTAGATTCTACTCTCAGCCTTATTTCTTCTGATAAACTCTTTAGTATCAACTAGTGTGTTTATTCATTTTTCAAAGTTCAGAAATGGTTTCTTAAAGTGGGTGCTACTTAAAATCCCAGCAACTTATCAAGACCCTGTCTCAAAATAAAAATGGCCTGTAATGTAGCTCACTGATTGAGTGCCTCTGTGTTAAATCCCAGGACCACGTGGTGGGGAAAATGTTTTTTTTAAATCTAAGACTTAGTAGTATAACGTGATTATTAAAATAAGAATCAGTTGAAGATTAAAGCAAAATGCCATTTTCTCCTAAACTTTCATTTTGTTCATATTGTTCACTTTCAGTTAGTATGTACTACATGTATTATACAGTGTCATATATACTTTGTGTGGATTTTATTTTACTAGCCAACTATCTCAAGATCATATTCCACTAACCAAGTAGACCTTGGACTCTCTTGTGGCTCAGTAGTTTGTTTAGTTGTAGTAGAATTGATAACAAGAACTACCATTTATTGAGAACCTATTATTATTTGCACTTACCTAACATAACATAGTACTAGGTCCCTATCTAATCGTTAAAATTACCATGCAAAGCAGGCATTCATTCTTACCTGTTTATAAGTAAGGAAAATGCTCCTGGCCAAGTTACTCATTTTTCATTGTCTCACACCTGCTAAGTGACAAGGTTCAAATCCAGATCTAACTAAATTTTCATGGTCTTTATCAATGTTTTTTTTTTAACTGTAGAAAATTCATTTTAAAAATTGTACCTTACAAATAAACTCTATTTGGATTATTGATTTGATGCTGTATGATTTAAGCAGATTATATTTCAGGTATTTAGTTTGAGTTTCTGTTTTTTATTTTAGTCTGAAAAATTGAAGATAATTTTATTTTGTTTGCAGTTTATGTAGCATTTAGGAAAATCAAGAGCACAATCAGTGCTCAGGAATGTCTAAATGCATGATTGGTTATATTACACAAGTTTGTTTCCAAGCAGACTGTTCAATACTCACTGTGATTTCTTTATTGAATCAATGTTAGGAAGTCAGATACCAGTCCAGCCATAAAAAACCAGCACGTAAGAACACTTGCCTAGTATGTGTGAAGGCCCTGGTTTCAGTGCCAACACTGAAGAAAAAAAAAAGTTTCTAATCAGCATTTCCCAATGTGTTACATGAAAAGAATTCCATGAGCAAGTAAAAGCTCTACACATGCTGTATACTTTATTCTCCTACCATCTTATAGACATAATGTATCTTACACCAAGGAGTCCAATAGTAGATTAGGGTATAACTCAGTTGTAGAACACATGCTTAACACATATACCATCTTTGGTTCAATCACCAAAACCACAGGAAACAAGAAGAAAAGAGAAAAATAAAAGGTTTAAAAAGTCTTGATTAAAGAAAGAAACTTGGTTAAAACTTGGTTTAACCTCGCATTCTTCAAACACTTCACAATAACCACCCCACCTTGTCCATCAAATAATATTCCAAAGGAGGGGAAGAGGCTAGAGTTTTAACGTATCAAAGTTGAACTTCCTCCAAGAATAAGAAGAGAATGGTTTGTTTAGAATTTGCCGAACATAACACTTTAACTTTTGGCAACTTATCCAAGAAATAGTAAAATGTGTATCCAGGACAGATGAGGGTGTGGTTGATGTGGCTAGTTTTAAGCTGCTGTGGTTTAATACTGATATGACTCTTACTCCAAAATTTGCTGTTCTAAGCAGTTCTACAAAACTCATCCTTGTCATCAGCTCTTGCATGCATAGCCAGTTGACAAGAGCACATCTGCTACTCATTGGGGAAAACAGAACAGAAAATAGAAGCCAGATAGCAAGTCTGTGTGGCGCATGCCCCTAAACCTTGGTTAATTTGTTTTGTTTTTTAGTTCTTATAATTTAAATTTGGATTTGATTCATCTGAGTTTTTTTTATTTGAGGAATTATTGGGGGAGGTAATGATGAGAATAGGTAAGTGAGGGTGGATTTGGCAAATGTTCAGTCATGATTTTAAATCAGCTGCCCAGCCTGAAATTTTTTTCAGTCTATGTCTGCCAAGTATTCAGCATTTCAGTTCTATTACCAGTGGGAATTATTGGGATTGGAAGAGAACTTCTGTAAATTGTTTTTCCCCTCTGTTCAATTCTTTTGGGATTGATAATAGTATTGACTAGAAATAGGATTGTATAATCTGATTTTTTTGTATTTTATTTTCATTTGACTCTCTTTTTAAGCAAAGGGAATTATAAACAGCTTTGCAGTATGCCCCATTCAAATAAAATGGTTCAATCTGAAAGTGTTACCAGTAACAGAACTAACCCAGGAAGAAAAAAGTTTCATTACACACTAGTTAACATTCAGTGGTCTCTGAAGTACCCCGGTATGTAAGCAATTATTGAAAGACAATGTATTTTCTTTTTATCTCCCTATATAAAAGAGACACCCTCTTGAAAAACAAGCACTTTCTCTAATGTAGTGCACCTTGCCAAGCTAAATGGGTGTTGAGAACCACAGCTGAAGGGGCCCCAGCAAACTTCCAGCTGCCAGCAAACTTCCAGCAGCCGGCTGATGATTGGCTCACAGCGGCCCAGCAACATCTAGCTGATTGGTTCCTCTGCTGTGATGCTCATTGGAAATGCTCATTGAGCTGTTTCCCCGCCCTTTCAGACTACCAGCTGATGATTGGCTCACAGCGGCCCCAGCAACATCTAGCTGATTAGCTCCTCTGCTGTGATGCTCATTGGGTTGTTTCCCTGCCCTTTCAGACCACGGAGCTGCTCATTGGGGGACTTTTTTGGCTCCGCCCACGTGACCCAGCCAATGGGCCTCAAGAGCAGGAGGATTGTGGGAGAGAGAGAGGCTTGTGGGAAGCCGGTAGTAGCAGTTGGGCTCTCAGGGTTTTTCCTGAGGAGCTGTTTTGTTTGGGTGTGTGGTTCTAAAAATAAAGTTCCTATCTTTTGACAAGTGGCTCCTGAATGGTTCCCAGCCAGACTGCGGCAAATGGGGACTATGGACCTAAGACTACTACCATTAGAGATTGTCAAGTTTAGATATGCATCATAGCAGAAGGAACACTCCTTTCGGAGAACAAGGAAGGAGTAGGCATACGCTCATCCTCCAGCCATCCTGAGGAGGCCTTTCTGGCACGAGACTGGGGAGGATGAACTTAGCAAGACTGCTACCTAGCAGATTTTTGTATGAATTCCCTTAAAACCAAATTTAAGAGCTCTTTAGTCACCTACCACTAAATTGTTACTAAACAAGATGGAACATTCCCACAAAAATCAGAAATGTCAAATGATATATATTTTTTTAACATCACTGCCTAATACAAAATTTTGTATTTCAGAAGTTGAATCAGATTTGTGGAATATTGCCTTTTTAATAATCTCTTAAGTCACTTTACTAGGAGACAAGAAGGGGCTGGGAAGAGAAGGACAGAACTGTCAGTCCCACTCAAGCTTGAAACTATCTCAGGAAATATACTGTCATCCAGTGCTAAATTTGGCAAGTATCAAATAGATACCCACTTCCCTACTGGTATGCTACAAAGTAGGATTTGGGGTTTTCATGGTAAATCACAAAGCACATAATCCATTCTAGTGGATCATACTAATCTCTACCAAAAAGCAGCCCCAGGAAAAAACCCAGTCAACCAAATCACAAAGTGAATTGGACCCAAAATGGTGTTATTCTGAGCTTCAAGCATTGTTCTGTATATCTAGTTACCTGAAATTTTATGGTTTGCATGAGGACACACTGATAAATAAAAAGTTGAAGGGAAAGGATGTTTATTTATTAGAAAATAAATATTAAGTATAAATGTTTTCAGAAATTCTGGTGTGCAGTGTGCACAAAAAGGCAAATAAAAGATAATTCTTAGAAAAAGAGTACATAGTTACAGTAACCAAAAGCAAAATATATAAGTGAAATAAGAACATAGAGATTAGCATGTCTGTTGCTTATATAAGATGTCTTACGCATATCAAAAACATCATGTTCAAAATAGCTCTTTATTGTCTCCCCAAATTCTGAATTGTTTTATTTCCCACCCCAAATCAATAATTTGGCCCCACCACCCTCAATCATCACATTCTCTCAAGTAAAGATATCCAGTCCATTAGGAAGCTTACTGACTACCCCATCATGTATCTAAATCTCACCTCCAATCTCCCACCATAGACATCTTGGTGAAGCCACATCATATTTCTTATATTCCTATGACAAGCTAATTTTTCATACTTTCCCATTTTCATATTGTCCCTCTCCAGTCCACAATCTACACAGCAGCAGGTGTTGCTGACCTCTTGAAAGCCCTTCAGTAATGTCTACCACTCTTTTTAGTTGTAGTTGGACACAATGCCTTTATTTTATTTATTTTTATGTGGTGCTGAGGATCAAACCCAGCACCTCACACGAGCTAGGTGAGGGCTCTACCCCTCAGCCCCAGCCCCTGAGCCACAACCCCAGCCTCTCTACCAGATTTCTGAGAATGGTTTCCAAAAAAAAACACATGTACTGGCCCGACCTACCTCTTAAATGAAATCTTGTGCCTGCCCTCTCCTGCTTAATTATTACAGTCATAATTTTTTTTTCTCCTGTTAAATCTCCCATCCCTTTTCCAGCCTAGAAACTCCCCCAACCTAAAATATTCTTTAGTAATTTTTCATATGACTTTATTCCTACTATTCTCAAATGCTTGTGCTTTTTTTTATTTTGTTTTCATGTGGTGCTGAGGATCAAACCCAGGGCCTCCCCCTGCTAGGCAAGTGCTCTACCACTGAGCTACAACCCCAGCCCCTCAAATCCTTGTTTTCTTATCTGGTTGGTTTGCTTGATTGCTGCCTGACTTTGTAACTAAATAGAAAGTTTCATGAAGACAGAGACACTTTTACTTAACTACAATATTCTCAGAGCTTTGTCTGGGTCAGTTCAGTAGAAGCCTCAACAAATATTTGTTGAATAATGCAAGGATAATACTTGTTCATAATGTGATTTCACTTTGTCCTTACCATTACTCTTTCCTTATATACTTACTGTGTGACTGTTAGAACCAGAAAGGATTTTAGAAATCAACTAGTCTAATTTCCTTGTTTTTTTTAGAGAAGATGATTCAAACAAAGTCAATATTACCCAACTGGTTATTGACAGAGAAATTAGAACCCAATTCTTGTGAATCCTCATTTTCACAATAAATCTGTCTTTGGATGAAAACACTGTGGTGCTGTCTTGGCTTCTTTTTTTCTATTTTTTCAGAGTTGGAAGGAATTAAGAATCAAATCATTATTCAGGATAATCTGAAAATATGCTTTTGTGCACAAGTAAAATTTCTCAAAACAACTGAGGCCTACTAACAACACTCCAATATTTAAACATTTTAGAAGTAAATCTTGCTAGAGAATGGTGTATTTTCCAATATTCACAAACCAAGAGACCCTAGACAAGCTTTTCTTGTTGGATTTATTTATTTATTTGTTTGTTTATTTATTTATGTCGGGTTGAACTCGGAGGCATTCAACCACTAAGCCACATCCCCAGCCCTATTTTGTGTTTTATTTAGAGACAGGATCTCTCTTGAGTTTCTCAGTGCCTTGCTGTTGCTGAGGCTGGCTTTGAACCCACAATCCTCCTGTCTCAGCCTCCTGAGCTGCTGGGATTACAAGTGTGAGCCACCACACTCAGCTTCTTGTTGAGTCTTGTTTGTTCTTATGAACATTAATTATCATACTATGAAATACAATCTGCCCTCAAAAGCCCATTGGAGGGATTTTTTCAAAATAAGAGATCTGAGGG